TGCCCTTTGCCGTGGAATTGCACATACACCTGGCCCAGGACCCAGAGAGGCTGAAGGAGATCCAGTGGGAGCTAGAGGAGTTGTAACCAAGTGCTGCCCTATGGCAATAAGGTGAAGTACTAAATCAGCGACATTGTGCATAAGCTGCCACAGTGCTTGGTACCCCACATCAATCTTCAGAGGGCAAAAATGGCTATTCTTTCATTTATGCTTTCCAAATATGCAGATTTCTCTCATGGCCAATTGGGAAATATTTAGCAAAGGGAATTCTTGCAATTATAGTTCCAGCTAGTTGACAGTACAAAACTGTAATATCTTATGCTCTCTTTAGAACAATGGGAGAATCTAGGAACACTTAACTCTGTCCTATTCCAACTTAAATGATAGTTTTCTAATATTTTAGTTCTTCCTTTAAATATTACAAATTAAAAGCCATTATAATTATTTTCTATAATGTTTGCTTAAATTTACCTCATGTTTATCAGTTCCTTACCATTCCTTCTTGCATCTCAGACTTTCCTTCTGTGATCATTTTCCTTCTCCCCAGAGTATATCCTTTAGAAGTTCCTTTATTGTATATAGACCTGATGATAGTAAACATTTTCATTTTTGTTTGCCTGTAAATATCTTATCTTTCCTTGGTTTTTGAAAAGATGACACTTTGAAAATATCTTTTTCTCTGTCTGCTTTTAAGGTCATCTCTTAAGCTGGTGAACTGCCGTTTCACTGTGAGGTGCCTAACTGTGGAATTTCTTCTATTTTTTTCTCTATGTGTGGATTCACTTATTTTGTTAGTTCTGGAAAATTCTGAGCCTTTTTCTTTTTAGATAATGCCTGTTCTTTATGCTCTTTCCTTCTGAGACTCCCATTAGATGTGTGTGAGATCTTCTCATTCTGTCTTTCATATCGTTTAATGTTTCTTTCATATTTTCATCTCTTTGTCTCTCTGTGCTGCATTCTGGGAAAATTCTTTCAGTCTATTTTTCATTTCACTGGACTTTTCAGCTGTGTTGACTCTGCTCTTTAATCCATCTGCTGAATTTTTAGTTTAGCAAATACATTTTTCATTTCTAAAAATTCTATTCAGTTCCTTTTTACATTTGTCTACTCATTTTTTAATAATCTGTTATTGCTTGCTTATTTTAATGATTTCATATTTTTAGTTATTTTTATTTTTTAAATAGAGACAAGGTCTCACTATGTTGCCCAGGCTAGTCTTGAACTCTTGGCCTCAAGTGATCTTCCTGTCTCAGCCTTCCAGAGTGCTGGGATTACTGCAGGCATAAGCCACTATGCCTGTCCAGATTTCACATTTTTAAAAAAATCCTAATTATTCTGTATTATTATTTTTTGAGACGGAGTCTCGCTCTGTCACCCAGGCTGGAGTGCAGTGGCACGATCTCGGCTCACTGCAAGCTCTGCCTCCTGGGTTCATGCCATTCTCCTGCCTCAGCCTCCTGAGTAGCTGGGACTACAGGCGTCCGCCACTATGCCCGGCTAATTTTTTGTATTTTTAGTAGAGACAGGGTTTCACCGTGTTAGCCAGGATGCTCTCAATCTCCTGACCTCATGATCCACCCGCCTTGGCCTCCCAAAGTGCTGGGATTACAGGCGTAAGCCACTGCACCTGGCCCAATTATTCTATATTATTTAACTGTTAATTCTAATATCTGAAATTCTTGGGAGTTTAAGTTTATTGTTTGTTGTGTCTGCAGATTCTGTAATATGGTGTTTGTTTTCTTTTATCTCTTATTGTGAGCTCATGTTTAATTGCCCTTTCTTCAAAGGATACCTGGAAACCTACATTGAGGATGTTTTCCGCCATTGAAGATAAATATTCATGGGGTGTGTGTGTGTATGTGTATGCTGGGGGGCAGAGACATGAAACTTTCTGGTTAAGTTTGGAATTTACAGATTTAATTCCTCTATCTTTCAGCTAGTTTAAGGCTTAAATGCCTGTTTGTAGTGCTAATAATGGCATTTGTCCTCAGGACAATCCTGTCTTTTTAACTATACTTACCACTCATCTCCATGACAGTCCAACACAAAATAATTTTTATTCAGAACTTAAGTTGTTTCAAAGCAGGAGGGCCCTTCAGAGTTTCTAGACCACTACACTGCCAAAAGCAGAAGCCTTTCCTTCATTCCTTTTTTTTTTTTTTTTTTTTTTAAAGAGACAGGGCCTTGCTCTGTCATCCAGGCTGGAGTAAAGTAGTGTGATCACGGCTCACTGCAGCCTCAACCTCCTGGGCTCAAGTGATTCTCCCATCTCAGCCTCCCGAGTAGCTGGGACTATGGGCACATGCCACTGCACCTGGCTAATCTTTGTATTTTTAGTAGAGACAGGATTTCACCATGTTGCCCAGGCTGATCTTGAACTCATAGGCTCAAACAATCTGCCTGTCTGCCTCAACCTCCCAAAGTGCTTGGATTACAGGCGCAAGCCACCATTCCTGGCTTTTCCTTCATTCTTAATACCACTGCTATGTGACTTTCACTCCTCACCATTCACTGAAGCTGTCTGGCTAAGTTACCAAGAGTCATTACATCCAAGAGATCTCTTTCTCTGTCACTAACGCTTGACATTGATCTTTGGCTAATAATGCTGTATTTATTGGTTTATCTTTGATTTTCTTCCTAGTTCTCTGGCAATAATTCCCTGTCTTCTTTTATGGCTTTTCTTCCTTTACCTACCCTTAAATATTTATATTCTCCAAAGTTATGTCCTTGGCCATTTTCTCTCTCTTCTTTGGCAATTTCATCTCTTCCTATGACTTCACCTACCATTTATATGATGATGACTTCAAGATCTCTATCTATAACCCAGACCTTTCCTTTGCTTCAGATAACTGTATCTAACTACTTGCCGAACATCTTTTCCTGTATATCCTTAAATATTTTTGCCCTAAAATGAACTCCAAATCTCTAATCTGCTATTCCAAACCTCAGTTGATAGCATTAGCATTCCTCCAGTTGCCACAGCCAAAAACTCAAGGGTCACCCTAATCTCTCCCCTCACCATCCAGATGGTGACCAAAATCTGTTCATCTACTTTTTAAAATTTCCTCCTATTGAGTATGGAAAAGCAGTCAGGCACTCTCATATTTTGCATGTGGAAATGTAAATTGTTACAGCCCTTACTTATTATGGCAATTTGAGGTGTATAGCAAAAGTTTTAAAAATGTGTATATCCTTTCTCCCAATTTCATGTCTAGTAATTTATCCTAAGGGAATAATTGGAAATGTGTACAAAGATACATGTATAAGAATGATTATACTAGCAAAATTTTATAAAGAACCTAAATTTTCAAAAAGATTCCTTAAATACACCATTTTGTAATAAATTTTATTTATTTTTATAATAAACAATATTTGCTTCCTGAAAGGGCATATAATAATATATTAACAATGGTTATTTTAGGTAGTAGGATTTTAGACCTTTTTTCTTTGTGCATCTCTGAGTTATCAGCATTTTCTACATCGAGCATATATTTATTTTGTAGTTAGACAAAATACGTTATTTAAAAAAATTGTCGGCCGGGCGCGGTGGCTCAAGCCTGTAATCCCAGCACTTTGGGAGGCCAAGACGGGTGGATCACAAGGTCAGGAGAGCGAGACCATCCTGGCTAACACGGTGAAACCCCATCTCTACTAAAAAAATACAAAAAACTAGCCGGGCGAGGTGGCAGGTGCCTATAGTCCCAGCTACTCAGGAGGCTGAGGCAGGAGAATGGCATGAACCTGGGAGGCGGAGCTTGCAGTGAGCTGAGATCTGGTCACTGCACTCCAGCCTGGGTGACAGAGCCAGACTCGTCTCAAAAAAAAAAAAATTGTCTCCTATTCAACAAATTCATTTTTTCACTGTGACAATCGCCTTATCTCCTACCTACATCCTCCTTCCTCATCTTTTACCCCTCGCTGGCCTTCCTGCCCTCAACCCCAGCCCCTGCAATTCCCTGACACTGTGGCCAGAGTGGCCTAACTCACAATTGAACCATGACTCTTCCTCCCAGGTTCAAAAACCTGGAGCCTTATGTCCACGCTCCTAAACATCGCCAGAGAGGCCCTTCTTGGTCTGGAGACTCCTCCCTCACCCTAGGACTAAACTCTCCTGCTCTAGCAGTTTCAGTTTCTGGTAGGTCCCTGCCCACAGGCTGCCTTTTCTCATGACTCTCTTCTGCTGGAAGCCTCCTCCTCCTGGATCCCTCAGTAGATCTGCCCTTCAGGTTGGGCAGTGCTCTCCCCTTTCTGGCTCTCCACCTCTGCTGGTGCATGTTCCACATCAGGCAACTCTACTTTGTTCACTTGTTTGCTGTGGGCTCCTCAAAGGCAAGGTCTGGCCTTTCCCTTTTGTATCCTGAGTTGCCTACAGATGAAGATACTCAGCAAAGTTTTGTTGGATGGTACACACAGATAAATTCTCTTAGGCAGAGTCACAGTTAGACTCACAGATTTCCTCCCACCTGGCCACCAATCTTCAAGCACAGATGCAAGGAAACTGTGATACATATACATTAAAGGCATGCGTATAGGACAGTTTCTGGCCTATTCCATAGGCAGCCTCAGGGCCTTTGCACTTTCTGATCACTCATCTGGAACTTTCAGCTCTTCTTTTCTTTCAGTTCTTCATGTGGCTAGTTCTATTTCATCTTTCCAGTCTCAGTTTATTGTCACCTTGAGAGAGGGTTTTCCATGACCTAAGTAGCCCTCCCTTTCCATTTCCACTGCTCTGTTTATTTCCTTTACAGTATTTTTGAAGAATTTATAAAACTCATGTTTATTTCTTGTTTATTATCTGCCCGTTCCTACCTCTTACCCTAATGTAATTCCATGAAGGCAGGATTTTGTGGTATTTTACATACCATTGTAAATTCTGTACCTAGGTAAATGAATAAAACACACACACACACAAAGCTACAAATAATTACAAACACACATTGCCAGGCATCCAGACTGGCCATACGCTCTAGCCTGCCCCTCCCCGCCAATCTCCCACTTACCGGAGTCAGAAACTTGTTGGCTTCCCAGGCACATAGAGGTGGGTCCTTATAGACCTCCTTGATGGAGGTGGGAGCCCTGTAGGAGTCACTGTAGGTACTGATAGGGGTCTTGGTCTTACGGGAGAACAGGAACATGGTGTGGTCTTGGAGATGCTGTGATGGGCTCTACCTGTTAAGGGCTCCTGCTGGACATCAGTGACCACCCTTCCCCTAGATAACCCACACCTCCAGCCTGGCAGGTGCCCCTAGCTGCTGTAATCCCCTCCTGCAGAGGATCTCTCAGCTTCCTTCCCCAACAGCCTTCCTGCTCCCACCCCACACTGATGTCCCCTCCAGGATGGGCACTGCCCATTGTGATATCACCTGACTCAGCCCCATCCCCGGGAAGGTGAGGAGGTCTAATTCCCTCCCTGATCCTGACCCCCTCCTGCCTCAAGTCTATCAAAAGAGCCCAATATCTAAGAGTTCAGAGGCCTCTGGAGATCTTCTAGGTCAGGCTTCTCACTGTTGAAGAGAAACAGAGGTTCGGAGGGGTTGTGACTCACCCAGGGTCATGCAGCAGGTCAGTGGCATGCCTGGGAACCCACGGGTGCAGGTGGAGTAACATGTGTGCCCAGAGGACTGGTTCTCTCTGCTTCCCAGCCCATCTGCCCCTTGCCCACACCCCAGGGAGGGAGCTGAGGCTGGCTTGTTTGATGCTTTTAATATCATTATTTATGTTACACGATACACAACCAAGGATGATGGTCAATACTGCAATGAAAATGTTAAAAAAAATATTATACACGGCTCATGTCTTCCACACACCTTCCTGGAAATAAATTAGTGAGCACGGAGAAACCTGGCTGGGTGGCAGCCACGACTGAGAGAGGAGGGAGTGTTAAGGCAGTATCTACAAGGGGAAGGGCGGCAGGAGGGCAAGCTAAGGCCTAGATTCTTCCCTCTAACCTCCCAGACAGGGAAGGAGGGAGCCATGCCCCCCCCTAGACACGGAAGCTGCCACTGCCGGCTTCCTGCCTCTCTCTGACACACATACACTGCCTCAGTTGGAAGCCCTTGCCTGCCAGGGAACTAGCATGTCCTGTGGGAGGGAGATTTTCCCTGGTGTCTAAGGGCCACAGGGATTGAACAATGGGCCCGAGTCACACAGCAAGTCAGCAGCAAAGGCAGCAGTCTAAATGAGCCCCCAAAAAGAGGAGGTACCCATGTTCTAGAAAGGTGAATCAAGGAGCCTCGGGGTGGTGGTGGTAGTGGGAGGCCTGGCTCTGGGGTCCAGATGATGGGGGCACAGGGGCTGGGGGGATGTTGATCTGGGTGGGAGAGGTGGGCTCAGATGGGGGCCAGTATGAGCCTTATGGGTCCTGCAGGTACCTTCTCTGTCCTTGCCCCCCTTTGTTTGGCATTTTCTCATCATCTAACGTGGGTCCCTGGCACTAGAGGAGGTAGGGATGGGTTGGAGGAGTGGGGGGTGGTAAGCTGCACCTCAATATTTTGGAGTTGGCACTTCCTGGGTATGATGCAGGGAGAGGTGCCACCCTTCCTAAGCCAACAGCCTCACTCCCTCCTCTCATTGGTCCCCATTCCAGCTGCCATCTCCCAGGATTGGTGTCCAGAGAGTGGGCTGTGGGTGAATCTACTGCATGCCTGCAGCATGTGAGTGGATCCATGGGAGTGGATCCAGCAGCACATGTGGGGTGTTAGCATGAGATGATCCACCTGGGCCTGTGCTATAAGGTATGTGGGCACAGGCCTGTGCAGTTTTAGGCTATCTGTGCTTTCATTTTTCTTCACATGGTGTCAGGTCTACACTGCCCAGCTCCAGAGGAGGGCTTTCCTTACCTCTTCCCTCTTGATTTTCAGCCTCAGCTTTCCGGAACCCTCCCCCAAACCAGCAATAGCAGAAGCAGCTGTATACACATCTTGACCTACAGACACCCTATACAGCCACACACAATAGATACCCCCCAACACACATACACATTCACAGAAAACACGTAATCCCAAACAGAGCCACGTGTGCTCAGACATACACAGTCCTGATAGGAACTGCCCCTTCCCCTTTCTATAGAGGCACACAACTCAGCCCCACCCCAACCTTTAGGTGTACTGAGACACACAGAGATCACCCCCTCCCCACCACAGAAATTCCTATGAAGAAACTCTTTCAGGTATAAAAGGATCTTAAACATAATTTCAGCTGCTATTCATTTTCTAGTTGAGCAAACTGAAGACCAGAGAAAGCAAGTGGCTTGTTGAAGATCACAGGGAGGGGCCAGAGCTACAACCAAAACCCAGGCTTCTGACTCCTGGTCTAAGGCTGTCAGCCCATTGCACTGCTGAGCCGCCTTCTGCACTGTAAACAGACCACACAGGCACTTGCCCACGAGGGACACCCACATCTATGACAGGAATAGACTGAGGAGAGACAGGTCCAACAGAGACACACACACACCCACCCCCTGACAGCCTCAGAGATATACACACATTCTGCTAAGCACTCCCTACCACATCCAAACAACCACATCCATACAGCCACTCAGCCCACTGGATTCTCCAAAACTTGCTCCTGGATTCTTACTGGGAAGCAGCCTCCCGGGTCTTGGGCTGGGATGAGAGGAATGGGCCATTGGAGGCCAGCCTTACTCCCTGCTTCCAGCCTGGGATTGAGACCAATGAGCAGAAGGATAGGTGAAGGTGGGGGTGGGGTGGGCTGGTGGCAGAGAGATAGATGCATTGGTGAGGGGCCAATGAGGACAGATCACACCACCCAAACCTCAGCCTGTCTCTAAGGCTCACCTTACCCTGCCCCACTCCCAGGGAGCAAGGAAGTGGGTGAATGGGGCAAGAGGAGGAAGAAGGCAGTGATCAGATGGGTGAGGGGCACTACCCAGTTGGGCAGCTTTGCCAGGCTTCCCATCTGAGGAGGGGGAAATGCAAATAGAAACATGGGCCGGTAGGGGGCATGTGAAAGGGGCTCCGATGTGCTGAGACCCATCCCCACTGCCCTGGGCCTTTCTCCCTCTGAGCCCCTTTCCTGGTTAGGCTGAGACCGGGGCTGGGGGGTTCATGGCTTCGCTGGGGTGGGGCCAAGCCCCTGGCTTTGTGATCCCCCCACTCGTTAATGTTGACCTCCCTCCCGTCCAGTCTTCTCTCTTGGCCACCGGACTGCAGCCCTGGGAAGTGGGGCAGGGTGCTGGGTGAGGTTCCCCCAGGTAACTGAACAAACGGCCCTCACCCCTCCTCAGCTCCTGGGTGGAGAGAGACCCGGTTTTGGTTTCTCCGGCTCCATGAACACACAGAGGTACACGTCCTACCATAGGAGGAAGCAATGACTGTTATACAAGGTTGGCGGCTGTAGGGGCATGGGGCCGGGGGGCAGGCAGACGAGCTAGGGAGGGGTTGGCCTCTGCCCGTCATACCCAGCCCTTGGCGGCCCCGCCCTGGCAGCCGCAGCAGCCCCACCCGCTACTGAATGTGGCAGGCGGTGGAGGACGTGGCCTGGCAGCACATGCAGGTGGGGTTCACGGACTTGGGGGGGATGAGGTCTAGGTCCTCGTCGTCGGGGATCTCATCTAACCGATAGCCATCCTTCAGCAGCTGGATGTTCAAATCTTGGTTGATCTGCTGTAGGCAAAGGGGAGGGAGGTCAGGCCCGAGCGGCAGGGAGGCACCACCCACGGCTCTGCGGCCACTCCAGGCCGTCTGTGCCCTGGTCCAGCCGGTGCCTTGGATATCAGCCCCACTCTGTCCCGCGTCTGTCCATACCCCCAGGCCCCGCTCCTGCCTAGGCGCCCTCCTCCACCTCTGGCCTCTCTTTCTAGTCATCCCTCCCCATTCTAAGGTCAACTTCACACCTCTGGTCCTGTCCCTATCTCAGGCCGGCTACTAGAGGATATCACCTGTATTTTACACCTGTTCTATTTAAATGGCCTGCTGCAATCTAAAGCCCCACTCCTAACCCTAGGCTCCCTGCACTTGAGGCCAGTAACCACTTTTTTTCCATCCTATCCCAGGCCCACCCTGTGCAGGGCACCGCCCAGCCCTGCCCAGCCCTCTTTTTCATTGTACTTGGGCGTTGGCCCCAGCCCTCCCCCTGATGGCGATGATCCTGCCCAGTGGTGTCTAGGGCGAGAAGGGGTAGGGGCTCACCTCAGCAGAGGAGTAGCCGGAGGAGGAGTATCTAGACATATCAAAGTCATCATCGCTGGCCATGGAGGAAAGAGAGGGAAAGTGATACCAAGAAATTAAATAAAAAACTCTCCACAATCCCACCTCCCATTAGTCAGCATCCCACACCTCCCTCATAGTTCCAAATAGCAAAATCTCAATACAAACTGTGCTTGCTGTGCAAATGCAGGAATTTAAAGACAAGTTCCCTAGCCCCACCCTTAAAATCAATTGCTATCCTTAACCTCCTTCTAAATATAGCAGTTACTCCTTTCACCCCCTTCCTTCTCATCTTTTGTTTTTCTAGACTCAAATCACCCTGACCTGTAGGGTATTCCCAAAGTCCAAGTGTAGCCAGGTGTTTTCCAGGGAGTAGGGCTCCTCCCTGAGGGGATGGGGCATTAAGCATCATATTCTGCTGTCCAGAGACAACATCACAGGCCAGTTAGGGACAACCATTGGATCAGTTGTCCCAGGATGACAGCAGACAGCGTAGGCCCCCCTTTCCTCTCTCTGCCACCTCTCTTCAACCCCTAGTCCCTGGTGTAAAAAAATTCCCATCCCTGGAGAATTCACCCTTGGAGAGATTCTGGCTGAAGAATACCCCAATTCTGACATTAGAGCAGGTATGGCTTGTATAGCCCACTTGTGCTACACAGGTTCCTTTGGGCTGCCCAGCTGCCCCCAAACCCCCATACACACCTGTCCGTGTCAAGGGCTACCAGTGGCTTCTCATCGGGGCTCTGGTCAAGCGAGGAGTAGCCTTTATTGGGGACAACCAGCCTGGGTGAAGAATTTTGGGAGTTAGAGTGGCAAGTGGAGCATGGAAACCTGGCAAGGGACTGGGTTAGGTCCCATCCCACCACTTCCTTCCTTCCCTCCCTCCCCACCTTGGATCCTGTTAGGCTGTCTCCTCTCAGAGAGGAGCTGGGCCTGAGGAGCAGGGGAAAAGAGGGAGGCTCAGGACCAGCAGAAATAGATCCTGGCTGGCAGGGTCCAGGTTGGATAGGGAGGGCCTCTACCTTGTTCGGGCCATGACATTGTTCTTCTTGGGTTGCTGGTTGACAGGGCTACCCATGCTGCCATTCTTCAGGGAGCCCTTCCGGGCCAGTTCCCGCTGCTTCTCTGCAGGAGAACATGGGAAGGAAGCTGTGTCCTGCCCCTGAGGCCACCCTGCCTTACTACTCAGGGCAGCCTGGGCTGGGCCTCCACTGTGAAACCGCTTGCTCTTAGAAGGACTGAGGCAGGGATCCCAACTCCAGGCCCCTGCTGCTTTGTGGAGCTAGTACCTGGCCCTGCACAACCTGAGGCAGACAGTAGGGGGCAAAAAGAGGAGGCTGTCCCCTGTTTTCCAGGAACTACAACTCCC